TTATTATTAAAGTTTGTTTCTCTATTCTCTATTCAGCAGAAGGATGCAAATTTAAGACCCAATTTTTTTCAAAAAGCTTGCCCATCCGTTCACCAGAATGGTGCAGATTTTCCACCAGAATTTTTCAATATAGATTAATTTTAAATGTGCCTTGATTTACCAAACCTGTGCAAGTTTTCCAACAGAAATTTTCCGTTCATTTAATTTATCAGAGCGATGCAAATTTTGCACCAGAAATTTTCAATAAAGCATGCTCCTCAATTCACCAGAACGATGCACCGAAAATTGTCAGTGAAGTTTGTTTCACAATGCACCTTTGTGGTGAAATTTTCAGGCTTTGCCTCTTTATGCACCACAATGCTGCAAATTTTCCACCATAAATTTTCAATGAAGCTTGCATTCATCAGAACGATGCAAATTATGGACCAGAAAAATGAATAAACCTTGCTTCTACATTCACCACAGTGTAGCGAACTTTCCACTAGACATTTTCAGTTAAATTCAATTTTTCTAATTTTCATTGTGATTAGTCCCTCCATGCCCGATTTGTACCTTCCTTAAAAGTTGTCCTGGATTCAACCCCGTGTATTTGGCATACGATCTACGAACGCTAACAACTGCGCCACAAGTTAGTTGGAATACCAGGCGGACAAACACCAATTTCAAATGCATCAAGGTGTTGTGTTTCGTATTCAAGACAGCCGGCTGGCACTAAGAACTCCAACAGTAGGCGGGACAACAGCGCACTTTTATGTATCTCAGATGACGTAGCAGTTTGTGCTGGGGCTATCACGCAGAAGGACTGGGTTTAATTCAGCTCCAATACTAATACTAATGCTGATAAATCAATACACGTTCATCCCCTGTCTTTGATGTAGAGGACATAAACCTTTTTTAACTTATATTCTAAAAGTTCCGTTCAAGTTCCGCCAGAAGCTGCTTAGAATGCTCTTCAATTATGGTACCGGAACTTTGAAGTTCTTATAACGACTTAAAAATGAGGCTGATTAGAATTCTATAGACCACCTTCAACCAAGCTGCTTAAGCCAAAAATAGCCTTTTATCAGAACTTTTGGTTACATGGGCATCGTCTACCCACTGCAATTTCACGGCTGTCTTCCAACCAGCTGATTTTCTGCAGGTGTCAAAATTTGACCCTAATCACATACAGGAACCAGCTCAGTGTTCACTCGGCTGTCGACAGAAGCAGATCACTCTCAATGTGTGTCACACGATCGTCTGTTTACTCGGCAGCAACCATTGAGTGGTCCTCCTCATTGTTGTTCATCAGCAGTTCATTCACTCGATGCGTCGTCGACTTTGGAAAGCAACCGTTTCGTGATGAATGTGTGAGTGCTGACCACGTTTGCGTCCATTGTTGCAATGGAAGCGCTCTGACTCACGTTGGCGAATCTGCCATACAATGAAACCACTGAAAGCGGCTCCCATTCTGGTCGAGGAGGCTCATTGTATAGCGGAAGAAAAAATGTTTATTGTGTTGTACCTTTTGACTATAGTTTTAAGATGTATTGTGTAGTGAACAAGAATCCTCGGCTCTGTAAAGTTAATCCGCTTGAGCCTTATCAAATTAATTAATAAAGAAAGAAGAAACTCAATTGGTTGGATGATTTTTGAGAAATTACGGTAGATGGACAGCACCACCCGACGTGCTATTCGGGGGATACCTGTCTGATTTCCTTCCATGGTTGACTGGTTCTATAAAATCAATTAGTTAACTTATCCAAAAAATTAGATTCATTAATTGAAAAGAGTGACTCTTCTGAGTGATTCTTCTAGTTGAAAAATTGCCTTCAAAATTACATATTGATGATGTATGCGTGTACAATAATTAAATACATTAGAGCAAAAATATAATTTCATAGCGAATGTTGCGTGCAGTGCAATATCACCGATTCTACCGCACTTCTACTTGTGTGTACACACTATTCAAGAAGTAATCGTTGAAATTATCTCTAGGTCAAGTTCTAGTAGCAAGGTGCACCAAGTTATGGCACTATTTTTATTTTACTCCAATTATGGCTGTACCAGTCCATTGCCTATGAAAATTTAAATGAGCAGAGCCAAAAACTGGGGCAATGCCACCTGACCAACACCATTGCTGAATTAATAACTTTTAGAATCTCTTAGCACCCAACTAAGAACTAGAAGTCATAGAATCATAGCATCTATGGGACCCACGATTCGAAGTATGGATTTTTTCGTTCTTATAACCTCAGAGGTTCAATTTTTCTGGCATATCAACTAAGAGACGTACGAACACTCACGAAAATTTGGTAAATAATAATGTTACCATGAGTCTGTGTTAATTTTCCTTCAGATATCACTGCTGTTCTTAATGGTGACATCTAACAAAAATTCTGCATACACTTAAAGGGTGTCCACGATGAAATTGCCACACACAAAATTGATTCGCAAAATTCGAGTTTTCATCCGATTGCCATCAAATTTTCAGGGATTGAGAAATAACTATTAAACTTCATTTTACCATTTTACTCGTATTTTATTTACAGTCCATACGCAACTGCCCGCACCTTGGCCTTAACCCTGGCCATAAGATTCTGCACAACCTGTGAATCAACCGTTTTTTGCATGTAAACCCATACTTTCTTCAGTTCCTCGACTGTCTTCACTACCTTAGGTCGTTTAAGAAGGTGCTGCTTCATAATCGCCCAGTACTTCTCGATGGGGCGGAGCTCCGGAGTGTTGGGAAGGTTGAACATTTTCGGCACGAAATTGACCTTATTGTCCGCATACCACTTCAGCACGTCCTTGGAGTAGTGGCATGAGGCCAAATCCGGCCAGAAGATTGTTGGGACGTTGTGGGCCTTCAGGAGAGGAAGCAGCCGCTTCTGGAGGCACTCTTTTATGTACACCTGTCCGTTCATCGTGTCCTGGGTCACGAAAGGTGCACTCCGCTTCCCGCACGTGCAGATGGCTTGCCAAACCAGGAATTTCTTCGCAAATTTGGACATCTTCTGAGTGCGGACATGCTCCGGAACGCTGAACTTATCCTTGGCCGTGAAAAACAGGTTGCCGGGGATCTGTTTGAAGTCGGCCTTCACATATGTTTCGTCGTCCATGATGCAGCATTCAACTTTCGTCAGCATGTTGAGGTACAACTTCCTGGCACGGGTTTTGGCGGACTTGTTCTGCTTCTCATTGCGATTAGGGGCCTTTTGTACCTTGAACGTTCGAAGCCCGGTCTTAGTTTTGGCCTTCTGGAGAAAACGTCGGCTTAGGTGCAGCTTCTTAGCCACATCCCTAACGGAGGCGTTCGGATTTCGGTTGAAGGCCCCAACTACGCGGTTGTGATTTTTGGTGTTGTACGGAATACTTTTTCCTTCACTTCTGGGCTTCCGATCGGTGGTCAACCGTTCCTCGAACCGCTTAATCACTCGCGACACCGTGGAATTCGCGATTCCCAACGTTTTAGCGATGGAACGATGCGAGAGATCCTTGTTCTCGTGATGAATGCGCAAGATTTTATCACGCACGAGCTGTTCTTTCGACTCCATTTCCGCGAGTTTTGATCACAGGACTTTAAAACTTGCAGGATGTAAATAATGCACTATGAACTAAATCCACCCAAATTTTCATTAAATTCTACCCAACGGTCAAAAAGTTAGAGCAATTTCATAGTGTGGCAATTTCATCGTGGACACCCTTTAGTTCCGTTAATTGTTAACAGAAGACAGTGAGGTCAATACATTTCTGGTACCTCTATATATGCATTTAAAGTCTGGAACGCGCAAAAATTGGTCAACTTCAAATTGCTGTACACAGAAAAAAAAAATCTGATTTTTAACTATCGCGTAACATCTCCCTTCGTTTAATGTTGAGCTATACTTGGCATAAACAGCGAAATCGTTTACAAGTTTGCATACAATATTGATAATTTATGCGATATTGCGCTTTAAATTACACGAAATATCGCGTAAATTTATGCCAAATCTAGCGTTAATTTTATGTGCGCTATATCTCGCAGAAATTTACATGAATTTTTCGAACGGTGTATTTCTGTTAAAAACCTAAAATGCTGCATTTGGAATTTGAGTGTATATACAATGGTTGCTATTATGAGTTTTCATCGTTTGCTCTCCAGTTTTCAAAATGACATCCAGGCAAGAGGAGCAGCGTGTCAAAATTTTGCTCGCGCAAAAAGAGAATCCGACGTTCTCACACGTCAAGTTGGCAAAATTGCTGGATGTGGCCAAATCGACCGTGACAAACGTTTTAAAAGTGTTCGGGGAGCGTCTGTTGACCACCAGGAAGCCTGGAAGCGGACGTGACAGCGACGACGAAGAAGGTGGCGGTGAAATATAAGTGGAATTCTAACTTCTTCATCCGGGACGTCGCTCAATGTCTCCCATACTACTGTGCAGTGGGCCAAGAAACGAGCCGGGTTGTTGACGTTTAAGAACGTGAAGGTGGCGAACTGAGGTTACGAACAAAATACGTCGTCAAAGCAGCGGTCCCGAAAGCTGTATACGAATCTGCTCACAAAGTTCGACTGTGTCGTCATGGACGACGAAACTTATGTGAAGGTGGATTTCAAGCAGTTTCCGGGACAGGAGTTTTATACCGCATCAGGAAAAGGGAAGGTGGCTGAAATTTTCAAAACCATCAAACTATCGAAGTTCCCGAAAAAATATCTCGTCCGGCAGGCCATATGCACGTGTGGTCTAAAAGGTGGCATTTTCATGACTACGGGAACCATCAATCAAGAGATCTACATCCAGGAGTGCCTGGAAAAGCGGCTGCACCATTCCGAAAGCAACATAATAGACCTGTGCTGTTCTGGCCGGACTTGGCGAGCTGCCACTATGGGAAAAAGGCAATCGAGTGGTACGATACGAACAACGTGGTTGTGGTACCCAAAGACCACAACCCTCCCAACAGCCAAGAACTCCACCCTATCGAACGGTATTGGGCCTGACGATATGATTCATTCTAAACCTTAACTGTCATTCAGATTTTTTTTAAACTGAGTAGCTGATGTTTCGGAAGGTGGCAGCGTAGAAGAGCAATGGATAGCCACCGATAATGTCTTTATCGAGACGAGTTAGGATAACCTGGGAGAGAAGTGTATTCCGTTAAAAGAGAGGATCACGGATACCTGGTGAATATCGAGTACCGTTGATAATCAAAAGCCGTGATAGAGCGGACGGGAACCGGAGTAGCCTAAAACGAAGCCCGTCAACCCTTACTCGTATCTTGAGAAGGAAGTCACGCACTCCGGCAGACGGTATAAGCGAGCGTGTGTGGACTCTCTAGCTGACGGAGGGGAGAAAGCCATAACAACTGGCGATATACAACTCCTCTACGATATGTCATGACCAAGGAATCAAAAATATCTTCAAATGACAAAATGACAAGAGGTCATCGAACCGAATAATAACGCTATGTCAGAAGTACAAAGCAATAATGATATAATCTTCTTCCTTCTTTTTCATGACAAGCAGTCCGTGCGACACAACTCACTCGGGGCGGTACACTCCAAAAATTTATCACATATCTAATGGATGAAATCCATGTGAATTTCACATAGATTTCCTATGATCACATAGCAGCAAATCCCACCACAAAATCACATGAATATTATGAGGCCGATGAAATTCATGTGAAAAATCACATAAAGTATTTGTGATCGCATAAATTTTATCTGAAATTCAGATGAATTCCATTGAATTTGATTATGGATGAAAATCATGTGCGTATCCAATGGAAGCTACATGAAAACTATTTTCGGTGTAGAAGGAAACGAGCAAACTGTTGGCAAGCTGCTTCACGAAGTAAAGCCGAACATGATACACGTGTGTTAATGGGAATTTTTTTGTTATGTCTTTTCTCATTTCATATCAAGCTATGTCCTCATCCGTGTATATTGCAACAAAGCAGGCAAGCAATATATCATTATCCTTCTACCACTCGGATCGAGCTATGTTACAGAGCGAGTTTTTCATGGTAGTGGTAGCAACCGTTTTGTCTGTATCGTTGGTTGCTTTATGTGTTTGGATTCGCTGGTCATGACACCTGAGTGGAGCAAGAATGAACCCAAGGATGCCAGTGAAAGACACGACTGTTTACCGACTACACTGACCAGATGAAACGTTGGTTAGAGTACTTCGAACAAATTCCTCAAGTTTCGACGTCCAACCAAATGACTTATTTTTAAGATCAGTAGATAGGGTAAGATCGAGATGGAAAATGACAGGTGGGCAGGAACTCACAGTCTCCCTGTGTTGGTGAGTTCTTTGCCGTTAATTTTCATGAAAAGTTCACTATTTTGCTGTACAGAAATTCAAAACAAAAATTTTTATCTGCGGATTTGAACAGTTTTTTTTTTTTTTTTTTTTTTTTTGTAATTACTTTATTTGTACAGGCTCAATCGAATAAACTTTACAGAGCCGAGTTATCCTTTGCGTTATACATTATTACAGTCTTATATTTAAAGTTAAAGGAACTGGACCGAGTACTCGCGGTCGTCTCGAGGTTAGTGGAGATTTACAATATTTTGGATGGGAAAAGGGAAGAAGGAGGTTTTAAATGTGGTTTACGATATAACTATTTAATTAATCCTAAAGCATGAAATTATTTCTATTCATCTTGAAAACAAACATTGAAAAAAAAAACCCCAGACGTACAAAACACAAACTAAACACAAGGTTAATCAAACTTACAATCTAAGGTTAATATCCTTAAAGTAAACATATATGAGTTTCATAAACTCCAGATCGCGTCTAGCCAAAATATCCCGAACTGGAACATTAGGTTGTCTACCTCGAGCCCGAAGGGAATCATAAAAATGTGATCTGACTCCACGATACTCCGCACAAGACCAAAGGATGTGATCAGCGTCCTGGTAACCTTGTCCACATTCACAGAGATTGCTGTCTCCCAACCCCACACGGAACAAGTGAGCGTTTAGACAATAGTGATTGGACATGAGACGAGACATCACGCGTATGAAGTCTCGACTCAAGTCCAACCCTTTGAACCATGCAAACTTCGACACCTTAGGGATAATTGAATGTAGCCATCGTCCCAAGCTACCCTCACTCCATTGATGTTGCCAGCTAACGAGCGACTGCTGACGATAAATAGAGAAAAATTCACTATAGGCGATCTGTCGATCATAAATGTCGCCTTCCATAGCGCCCACCTTCGCAAGTGAATCCGCCTTCTCATTGCCCAAAATTGAGCAATGCGAAGGGACCCACGCGAAGGTGATTATGAAAGAGCGCACGGATAAAGCACTAAGCAGTTCTCGTATTTTCAAGAGAAAATACGAGAAGTGCTTTATCGGCCTAATGGAACGGATAGCCTCGACAGAACTGAGACTATCCGTAAAAATAAAGTAGTGGTGTGGAAGAAGTGAAGCAATAGTTTCCAAAGTGTAGTGAATTGCTGCCAGTTCAGCCACATACACAGAACAAGGAGCTTCAAGTTTTCGAGAGGCGCTATGAAATTCATTAAATACACCAAAACCAGCGGACTCCTCTATTAGAGATCCATCTGTGAAAAACGTTCTTGCAGAATCAACATGGCCAAACTTTGCAGCGTATAATGACGGAGCAATCATAGGACGATGATGCTCTGGAATTCCGCGGATTTCCTGCGTCATAGATAAATCAAAATTCACTGAATTGCCGAAATCGGAGAAGACTACACGATTGGGAATATTTCTTGAAGGGCTGACATCCTGTGTTAAATATAGGTAGTACAAAGTCATAAAACATGTTTGAGGATTAAGCTCCAGAAGCTTCTCAAAGTTTTCGATCACCAGTGGGTTCATTACTTCGCAACGGGTGAGGAGCCTCAGAGATAACTCTGAAAAACGGACGGATAGTGGCAACATGCCCGCCAGCACTTCGAGACTCATAGTATGAGTCGAGTGCATGCATCCTAACGCGATACGAAGACAACGATACTGGATCCGTTCCAGCTTGATGATGTGCGTTTTAGCTGCCGACTGGAAGCAAAAACTACCGTACTCTAAAACCGATAAAATCGTTGTCCGGTACAACGTCAGAAGATCTTGTGGATGGGCTCCCCACCACGTTCCGGTAATTGATCGAAGGAAATTGATCCTTAGTTGGCATTTTCGTCTCAGATACTCAATGTGGGATCTCCAGGTGCATTTGGAATCGAACCAGACCCCGAGATATTTAAAAGACATGGAATGAGTGATCGGTTTACCCAAAAGTTGAAGCTTCGGTTGTGCTGGGCTATGCTTCCTAGAAAAAACGACCAACTCAGTTTTCTCCGTGGAGAATTCGATACCTAGCTGAATAGCCCAAGTAGACAAATTGTCCAAGGTATCCTGTAAGGGTCCTTGCAGGTCAACCTCTTTTGGCCCTGTGATAGACACTACGCCGTCATCTGCAAGTTGTCTCAACGTGCAATTGTCATTTAGACAATTGTCAATTTCTCTAACGTAGAAATTGTACAAAAGGGGGCTTAAACATGAGCCTTGGGGGAGACCCATGTAGCTAAATCGAAAAGCTGTAGAGTTTCCATGAGAAAAGCTCATATGTTTTTCTGACAGCAAATTGTACAAAAAATTATTCATTAATGGAGACAATCCACAAGCGTGGAGTTTTTCTGAAAGAACTTCAACGGATACTGAATCAAAAGCCCCCTTGATATCCAAGAACACAGAAGCCATTTGCTCTTTCTTAGCAAAAGCCAACTGAATTTCCGAGGAAAGCAACGCGAGACAGTCGTTCGTTCCCTTACCCCTACGGAAACCAAATTGAGTATCTGAAAGAAGGTGGTTCGTCTCAACCCATTTGTCGAGGCGAAAAAGGATCATTTTCTCCATCAATTTCCGAATACACGACAGCATCGCGATGGGCCGATACGAATTGTGATCCGACGCGGGTTTATCAGGCTTTTTAATGGCTATCACCCTCACTCGTCTCCAATCGTCGGGAACAATATTGAGCTCCAAGAACTGATTGTACAAGTTCAACATGCGCCTCTTAGCGACGTCTGGGAGGTTTTTCAGCAAGTTGAACTTGATTCTATCAGATCCCGGGGCAGAATTGCCACACGAAAGGAGAGCGAGTGAAAGTTCCACCATTGAAAAAGGCTGACTGATTTCGTCTACCGAATTCGCGGTTTCGCGAGGAATCAACTGCGACGGCACGGAATCCGGACACACTTTTCGCGCGAATTTAAGAATCCATTGATCCGAGCATTCCTCGCTTTCGTTGTTAGAAGACCGGTTACGCATTCTTCGCGCCGTACTCCAAAGCGTATTCATAGACGTTTCGCGCGACAATCCGTCTACAAACTGCCGCCAGTAACCCCGTTTTTTGGCCTTGATGAGACTCTTGAGTTCGCGTTCAAGAGATGTGTATGCGTCGAAATGCTCGCGTGTTCCGCGTTTCCGAAAAAGTTTAAACGCGTCGGACTTTTTACGGTAAACCTCCGTGCATTGTTGATCCCACCAGAGCGATGGTGTTTTCTTACGGATTGACGATCGCGGCACCGGTCGTGTTTGAGCTTGAAATGCGCTGTCGACGATGATATTAGAGAGGAAATTATATTCCTCCAACGGCGGAAGCTCTTCCACTGACGATACTGTATCGTCTATCGCGGATTGGAACTTAGTCCAATCGATGTTACGGGATAGATCATACGCGACGTTAACAGATTCTGACGAGTTGAACCCACTGGCAAGGAACCGTGCGGATCCTGGATTACATGCCACGTGCAATCCAACGATAGTGAATTGGAGCAAAAGGTGAGGTCTAATCTGCTACCATTCGAGGATGGACCAGCCAAACGTGTTACTTCTCCATTGTTAAGTATTGTCATGTTGAAGTTGTCGCAGAGATCATAAATCAAAGTAGAACGGTTATCATCGTACAGCTCCCCCCAGCCTGTACCGTGGGAGTTAAAATCTCCCATGATCAACCATGGAGCGGGAAGTACCGCACATATGTCGAAAAGTTGTTTGCGATTAACAGAGACTCTAGGAGCAATATATACAGAAGCAATACAAAGGCTCTTACCTTTAATGGTAGCCTGACATGCGACAACTTCAATACCGGGGAATTCGGGA